TAATCTAATAAATAATATGTTCACATGAAGCAATGTCTGTCATGTTGTCATATTAGTCTTATAAAGCGATACACCAGAGCTTTCTTACTTCATAGGAATCAATCTCTCTGCACTACCAGAGGCAACCCAAATCCATTTAAAAAGAAATGTGTTAGTGTAGTTTCATGTATTGGAGGAAAAGCTTGTAACAAATGCCATTCACGTTTGTCTTGTAGTTTGTGATTCCAGCATCTTGCTCAAAAAACTGAACAATAGCACCCATGTGAAAAATTGCTACCTTGATGGCCAAGAATATACATTACATAGACATTATCTAGTCAACAGCATGCAGTCTGCAAAGCATTATAGATTATAGCCCCCAATTTGTACTCCAAACAGTGTGCCAAATATTTTGATCATTGCTGTTCATTAAAATTGTGTCTTTAACTCCTCTTCCTATTTCACTATCAGCTTCCACTAAACACATAAGATAGATGAGTGGAAGTAGGAGCCCATGCTGTTCTGAGATTAAATAAGGAGATGATGAAAGGTCTTATAGTGAATGAGGAAATAACCCAGGTGTTGTAGACAGGCAATAATGCAAATACTTGGGAAATGAATGAACTCTCATTTTTTGAGCTGGCAATGTTTATGAAAGCATATAAAATGCTTGGATGTTCACAAATAAATTCTAAATTCTATTACTACTCATTTTAAGCTGGAGATTCCCAGTATGGTCATCTGAAGATTATCTTGTTTACAAAGAAATTTCTTGTGAACACTCTCACAGAAATATCCATTTATCTGTCATCTGACTTTTATCTTTCTCACCCTGTTTTCCAATTATGCCAGAGCTACCGCACCAAATGCAGAGCAGTGCTTTTTCTTTTCAACTTCCCTGTTCTATAAATGCCATAATGATGTCCCTCTCTTCCTCTTTAAAAAAACATAGTAAAATATATAAATTATATAATCCAAAGACTCCATCATCTCTGTGGTATGGTGAGAAAAGAACAATGTAAAAGACAAGGATGGCTCTTCTGTCCCAACCTGCAGCAGCCAGCCCAGGTCCCCTGGGAGTGACATATGTCCCTGGTTCCAGGGCATTGAGATAGGAGATTCTGTGTCCCAGAGATGGGAAGGTTCAGTGTGATGATATCAAGATCCAGATGATGAAAAATATTCACAAATCCCGTACCCTTTAAAAAGAAAAGTAGTCAACAACCTAAAGACAGTCAAAGCATAGGGTCTTGTGGTTTCCCCAGCACCACTGAAGTGGTGGGCCGCAGAGTGGAGAATTAAACTTCCGTGCTACTGGTTTATCTACTAGACAACCATCTTATTCCATGAAACAATATGACTTGATCAACACTGCCCTCACAATACTAGCACCTCTCTGCCTGGCTGCTACGTTCTTTTCTTCCCTCTTCCCATGGGAGAGGGCAGCCCTCAGCACTGGTTGTACTGGTAGCTGACTGGGGTGATCTGTATCTTACTACTTCTTCCATGGGGTAGTATTTCTCTGTTTAGCATGGTGACCAATGACTCAATGTTCATGTGCAGTTGGCATTCCACTGAAAACTAGCCCTGAAAAAAATCCTTGTAGTTGAAATAATAGTTTCCTTATAGTCTTCTTTTTCTCTGAACTTCTGTTTTCCTAAATAGCAGCAGGAATCTCAGTAAGGTCCATGTTAAAATAATGATAAGGCATAACCCATGCATCTACAAGCATCTGTTCTGTTGAGTGTATTTATATAAACACATTTCTCAGTTACAGCAGTTCCTATGGTATATGTTCCCATGCTGCCATTTTACATCAACTCTCTAGAACTCTGAGGGAAAAAAGTTAATTTTCTTTAACTGCTTTCCTGTGCACATATTCTCCCTTGTGAAAGGGCCTTTCTGAGGGCTCAGTGTAGCTCCTGAGGAGTTCAGCAACAATAGGAAGACATTGTTAGTTTGTATAGCCAGGATGTGGTTCCATTATTTATGAAGTATTTCAATTGTCTGATGTCATTCAAATTTTCTTTTATTCAGTGCAGGCTACCTACCTCTCTGTGGTGGGAGAAAGAAAACAACCCTTCTTTGCAATCAAACTGTGCGATATGATTAGGTCTGCCAGAATCCTTGGTGCATTCTCAGAACACTGAAATAGTGGTCCCTGAGGACCAGTCCATTGTATATCATTCCTCTCAGTATGGGCAGCTGATAGAAGTCATAGCCTAAAGAAGTTGCACAATCTGAAAAACAAACATACTAGCAGGGGAATGAAGTGAAAAGCAAGAGCAAAGAAAAACAGCATGAAAGAAAGAGATATAATTGGGAAGGGGGAAAATAGTCCAGAGGAAAAATAGATCCCAAGTAAACAGAAATGAATTTAAAAAATGAAAAAAAAGAAACCACCACCAAACTCACAAATCAAGAAAATATGTCCATAAAATAAGGTGGAGCTATAATGCATGCTATGAAAATGAAGGAAACTCGCGAAAAGAATAAAATAAATTTTCTCTCCAAAAATCAAACCCAAGAAGAATGGAGTAACCAAGGGACATGGAGCAACCTAGAGGAGGAAATTCAAGATTAAAAAAAAATTGTAAAAAAAAAAAAAAGAACAAAAAAAAACAAAAAAAAAGAATTTGTCTAGAATAAATCCTGAAATAGCCTGAAGGAATTAAGATTAAGATGTCTCCACCCTTGACATCTTAAGATATGCAACTTGCTATCAATACTGTCCATAAAATATGCAGATCAGAAATTCACTGGGTTTCATATGTTTTTATCTTTGAAAACTGCTCTGTTATTGCACGCGTAAGTTATATGACACCATTTCTGTTTCTTTTTGGATAGTTTTACTCTTCAAAGCAAGCTTTAGGTGCAAACAATTGATTGTGACTTTCAGTCTACATTTATCTATCATCTGGGAATGTCAAAAATGAGGCCCCATTGACTTCCTGGAACTGAGTTAGACAGCTACCTCTGGCAATTACATTTTTCCCCTCCTAAGAAATACATTGGCAAAGTGGTATGACAGAGGACAGCAACAATTGAGGGGACTGGAGCCTTGTGAGGAGAGGCTGGGGAAGCTGGACAGGTTCAACTTAGAGAATGGGTGGCTTTGGGGGATACAACAGCAGCCCCCAGTGACTACAAGGGTGACATCAAGGAAATGGAGCCAGGCTCTTTACAGCAATGCATGAGAATGAGGAACAACAGAGACTGAAACGAGAGAAATTCAGAATGGAGAAAAGCGGAAACTTTTTTCCCCTGTGAATTTTCACCTGTAGAACAGACTGCTCACAGATGCTATGAGGTCCCTCCCATCCTCGCATGTTTTCAAAACCCCTCTGATGCAGACCTGAACAACTTGGGCTGAACACAAGCTGCCCCTGGTCCAAGCAGGGAGTTGGACTAGAGACCTCTTGAGGTTCTTTCCATCCTGAGATTTTCCGTGACCCTGTGCTTTAATTTAAATGACCAGTAACCATGTTGCCATTGATAATTACGGCAGGCTTTACATAAATTACTGTGAGCAAAGCTCAAGTACAAACATGCTTCTGCTTAGAGCAAAGATGACAAAGCCTTAAGTTTGTCAATTATGTTGATACCTATTTAAGACATTTCAGGGCTTGAATCATCTCAGACACTCAAAAATCTGCTTGACCAGGACCTGCAGTTTGCAGCATTCACCCATGCAATCGTAGTATAATAAACAAATCCAAGGACTACAAGGATCTCTGACAGAAGTGCTAAAATATTCATGAATGCAAGTGTCACCAGGAAAAGAGAAACAAGGAACAACAACAAAAAAACCCAACAAGTTCAACTAGAGTTACGCATCACAGTTACACCATATAAACCAGCATAAGTAATACTTTCTGCAGAGGATTAGACATATAGCTTTATGCCATGCTGCAGGTAAAATTATTTTAGAATTATTATGACTACCCGAGTGATCTATGACGTCCTATTTACCATTTTAGTGTTTTTTTTCAAACAGATTTTATGTGCTCTGTTGCAAGCACTCTTCAACCCTCTCTCTAGCTCTAGTCTAAGGACTGCTAACTTCTTTGTACAGTTCTTATGTAGAAAGGTTTGAACTGCAACTCCAGGCTATCGCTACTACTCATGGAGGGGTACAACCTACGAAGGGTATAAATCACGACATATTACACTCCATCCAGCTTCCAGACTTGCCTCTAAAGAGCCATGAGTATTCACTGTATTCACTGTAATAATATTATATTATATTATTATAATACATATAATATATCTATAATATATGTAATACATAAATTATATAATATTATAATATATAATATTACATTATAATATAATGAAAACTGTAGTATTCACTGTAATAATAGCAATAATCTGTTCCTTGGGCTGTGTGCAGCTTAGCATCCCTGGTAAGCAACACACTATGGCACAAACATCTCTTCAGCCACAACGAAAATTAGGTGTTTCTCTTCTAAAAAGCAGCTATCACTATCTTCAGCTGGGCACAGGAAGGATTAGAACCTTTACTCCCAGTCCTGGGACTGATGTAAGAGGGGACAAGCGAGAGCTGCTTTCCAGCACTTTTAAGAAGACACCTATCAGAGACATTGTGAGCAGTTTCCATGATTTTCATGCCACCTAGGAGGTCAGTTTTGATATTCACCCTCCTGGAATGTTCGTCCTACTTGTCCTTCCTTTAACACGTTGTATTTTCTTCTTTTAGATGTAGCTTGCTGTTCTTTGTGAAAGCTCTGTCAAAGATATTGTTCATGCATCTGGTTAGCTGTCACAGGTAATCTGCTAGTTTTTGCTAATGGCTATGGGTCTCTAAAATTGTTTTGCAACTCTAGGCTCCCTGAATAGAAGTGTTGTTTACACTGTGCTCATTTCCTATTTTATTGCTGGTGTAATGGTTCTGTTGTGAAGATTAACTGAGTAGTAGGGCTTCTTAATGTAAACAACCTCACAGTAGAAGAAAGGGAAGTTGGTATAGTTCATCTGAGATCAAAAATATTCTGTAGATGTTATTTTTTAATGAGCAATGGCATGAATGCCTTAACAGTTCCCACTGTACGATGTCAGAAGAATGTCAGAAAAGGTATAATGAAAAAAACATTCTATGATAAATTGTTCTCATGATATGGGCATTACATCTTTTTCTTATATTTACACATAATTCAATTTGCTATTTAAAGACAAAGCTCTGTCAGGGACTCCTCTGGTTTGTCCAGCGGTTCAGACAGGCATGCTTGGCCATCTGAAATGTAAAGAAAAAGGCCATTACATTTCCCGAGGAACCACAGTACTCCCTAATGTTTACAAGCCATCCTTATGTCTGACACAATAACAGGAGAGAGAGACATTATGTATAAAACAATTAGATCAGATATGCTTGAGATGGCTCACTGCAGCTGACCATGGTATCTGTAATGCCTGCTTCACAAGTCAGGCTGAACCCAAAAGCTGAATAGTTATGTCTTGGATAAATGCTGTTGGGTATCCTTTAGCTTTTTGTGCCATACTTTGCTGAGGTGTTGACATTCTTTTAGCTGCCTGAGATTTCCAGAAGACCTGAGATCTTCAGTAGAAGGATTGATGGAAAAAATGGATCTCCATTGCACATTGCTCTATTGATCTGCCAGGCCTAACTTTCTCTGAGAGCTCATCACTAGATGAAGAGGGACATTCCATCACATCCAGCAAGCAGTCTCCATCACTGGCTTCTGTTGCTCCTAATCCTGTGAGACTGATGTAGAGTAAAATAGTGGAGGAGTTCCTGGCTGGGATTATAGTGTAGCTTTGCAGTGCCATTGGTGATACAGCTATTTATGGCCAGCAAACAGGCATCAGGGAATTCTGGCAGAGATGTTAGTGCTCAGATGATTATAAGGCAGCTATTGAGAAACTAGTATGATAACTGAAACATATGATACTAAAATAACCATCACAGATCAAATCCTTAATTCTTAATGTATATCATTACTCCACACCACAAACTACACAAAAATGCAAACACACACTTCATTGCTAAGGTCCAAGCTGACACATTTACACTGGCATGTGGCACACTTTACATGCTTTTAAGGCATTTCATAGTGCTGCACAATCTTTATAGAAAGTCTAAAAAGAAAAAAAAAAAAAAAGGGATTTTGAAGGGAAGGATTGAGATCCTAATTTTCCTACTTCCAAAGATATTTTTGGGAGAGACCGGAAGATCTGATCTGCCACAGTTGGAACAAGGTACAAATGTTTGCAGTTTTAATGTTGCACGGAGTGAGGAGCTGAACCAAATGGATCAATTATAGAGAAGACATGATGAAAAAACTGTAATTTTCATGTCTGGATTACCACTTACATCAAAGGTGGGATTTTGGATAAGAAGCTGAAATTAATATCCATGTGTAACACTAGTTGGCATTTTTATGCCTAAGAACTCCACCTGCCATCAGAAGAGCTGGTTATTTTGTTCTCAGTGTTCATGAATGCAACATTACCTACCTTTGTCTGTCTCACATTTTAAGTACTATCACAATACATCTTTATCATGTCTTCATTACACACCTTTATTTCCATATCCCATGCAATCTCTCCCCAGTACAGAGAATGAGGCTCATTTAGACAATAGTTACTCAATACATTTTCATCTTTGTTCTCTGTAGTGATTTCTACCATTTTTACTTTCTTCTGCAAACAGAATAATTAATTTTTATTTTTAAATTGAAGCTTATTTGTATGCGCTTCCAGCTTCCCACAAACTTGATTTTCATCATGCTTTTGAAAGATGAGTTTTGTCACATGCATTCTGCAATTGGCAAGTAAAAATGCAGAGAGAACAAGGTAAAAGACAGAATAATGGTGTATTTTTCAAGTACATAATATGATGCAGTATTTTACATGTTCAGAGCCCTGCTCCTGATAATGTCCACTGCAGCTGTGAATGTTACATTTCTCACTTTCCTGCCAAATTTCAAGTGCCTTCTCTAAGGACAAGAGTTTATGAAAGAAGAGGTCACCAGCATTTCTAACACACATGAAACGTAGCCTAATTCTGGGAAATGCAATGAACTCTTCTAGGTGAAATATTAAAAAAGAAAAAAATAAATTAAAAAAAAAATCAGTTGGAGGCAGTTACGGGCATATAACATTTCAGTTTTAGGATCTGACAATTGATACAAAACCATAAAAATCTTATGGTGGTGTTTTTCTGAAAGCATCAGCTGCTGCTAAAGAGCACTCCTCCAAAAAAGCCATTGAGTTCATGATAACCTAAGGGTCATGTTGGTTTCTATTTCAGTCCTGAAAAGAATGTCTGGTGCTGAGAATGTTTCTCTGTTCCTTACAGCTAGGAAAAATACTGCTTCTCAGATCTGTAGCAGGATGTCTTTTTATATGAACTTTCAGTTTTAGACTAGATTTGGAAATTTGATTCCTTGAAATATTTCAGAATTCGCTTCCTGAAACTCAAGCATTTCATGGAGGAAAATCTCTCTAAAATTTTTGTGCAAATATGAACAAGACGGAGTAATGCTTATATTAGATTATTAATATATGTATTAATGCGAAGCCTTATATTTTTGCTCTTTCCATACCATGTTTTCCCAATATGATCTCCTTTTTCAAGGAAAAGAATGGTCTTGTAGTTAAGGTATTCAAGTGGGATTCAGAGCACATGAATTCAATTCCCTTGCCTGCTTGGAAACTGCTCCATGTGGTGGATTTGTTCCATCTTGATACATTTTCCCATCTGTCAGATGGCTACTGTAGTGTAAAGGCTGCCACCTGGCAAGTTTCTAACTGGCTCAGAAGGCTTTATTCTTATCTCCTCATCTGCTGGTGAGGCAACTCAACCTGCCAGTTTCACACCATCTAAGATGTGATGGAGTCAATGGACATGCACCTGGCGGGTGACCCGTTTGTGCACCACAACTGCTGTACAGTTCAAATGCTAGAGATACATATACTCTAGTCTTTTCAACAGATCTCAGGTCCACTGCAGATGAGTGGAAATACAATTACATGTATGTCCCAATAATTTATGAAGGTTTCTGGTCCTGTTTTTTTTCTGTGTTTTTTTTTTTTGTTGTTGTTGTTTTGTTTTTTGTTGTTTTTTTTTGTTTTTTAATTTTTAAAAGAGGACTGTTTCAGTGAATTTTGAATTCAAGAACCTTAATATTGATATGCATATTTGTGCATTTATGTAAAACAAAACATCATTTCTCCATTAAAACTTACTCTCCTTAAGCCTAGATCACATTGTTTGCATTTTGGTTAAAATCTCTCTTCAGCACTGATTTTAGATTGGTTATAAATAAATCTACACCATTTTTGTATGTACTGTATTGCTACATTGCTCTAACTAATCTTGATATAATCACCAGGAAGTGTGTTACCTTTTCACTCTTTTATGTTTAATGGATCCCAACTCACATTTTTTGCAGATAATGGGAATGCAATGAGTATTCTGACAATTCTCTTTATATGAATCTTTCTTCATTTTTACACTAGAAATAATGACAAACATTTATACAATCTTACATCTGAACTAAATAGATGAATTCAACATTTCCGCTCTGAATTTCTGCTTATGATGCCATGAATATATTTCCTGTTTTCTTTATTTCTCCAAAGGGATGCCATCCATTCTCTCACCATAAAAGCTGTAATCTGAAGCTGCTGATTGCAGTGTGATTGGTAGAACAGTGTTATTTTATTGACATACAGGGTTAAGAAAGTATCATGGAAGTGAATAGATTTTGAATATATCTAGTTGTTTGATGTCCATTACTAAGAAGGATCAATTATAATGCGAGTAATTACGGACTTTTTTATTTGCTGCTTTGCAAAGCAGGCTTGATTTTTCTTTCATTTATCCTAGCTGTGTTCTGATTGAACTTCACCAACTTCCCTGAAATTATACTGTTTTCAGCCTTAGTTAAAGGTTAGATTCAATTTATGTTTGCCAGAGTTAATTACTCTTGAGTGGCATGGCTCAAATTTAAAGAAAAGTAAAAGGAAATACTATCCTTTAGTATATGTTCAGATTCACTTCAAACTTTGCAATACTTCTCCACAGAATTGTTGAGATAGCCTTTGAGAGAGATCATGATCTGGTGAGACCTTACAAGACTTTGCTCTCAAAGAGATCTGAAGATCAGCCAAGAAACAATAAACATTATGTGCTAAGGAAGAAGAATGAATATATAATTTATAGTGTATAATTATTATTTAATATTAATTCTTAGGGCTGCAAGAAAATGACTAGACTGTCAACTTGAGGATGTTGCAAGATCAATGGTACCTATCAGAAATCCCATACATGACTGATATGAGCTAGGAAACCATAAAAAAGACTTTTTTTTTTTTTTTTTTTTTGTCTTGATATAACAAAAGTAGAGTCAGTGGTGAAAAAAAACACAACAAAGCAATTGTTCATTTTCTGACTGACAAGAAGACTGCATTGGCAAAAAGAAGGTCCAAAGAAAGGACTGAGAAACCAGAAAGGGGATAATAAGATGCAAATGATGGCTGCTCCAGGGTACCCATCAAGATCCATGCTTGAACATCGCAGAATAATCAGGACAATTAATGAAAACAATTTCATAGATTGTGACACACACCTTTGTTACTGCTGTGGTCAGGACTGGGGTAGGAACAGGCTGCTTTCTTTTGTGTGCCAGGGACCAGGTGAATGAGAAGACTACAATGGGTCAGAGCCCATTCTAACCCTCATGTCATCAATGTCTATTCACCACTTGGTATTATTAACATTTTATTAGGTTATTGATTAATAGCTTTTGTTTAGACAATGAAAGATTACTGAAGACTTAGACCAGAATTAAGGTTGCAAAGCTCTAGGTGCTACATGCGTCCAGACATTCTCACGGTCTATGAGTGCCAGCAGTCATCACTTGTAACAAATGCATTACGCCTTATCCTACCCTGGTCAAGACATAGTTCATCACTGAGTTTCAGACAGTCCTGAGGGAGTAATGTTTATTGATTTTTCTGAATTCAATCTACATGGCAAAGTAATAAGATACACAACTTCACTTTTTTTTTTTATTACAGTTGCTCAATGAGAAGTGCTCTTCAAAGTTTAAGTGTCAGTGTTTAAAGATCAATTGTCTTGTGACCAAGTATTTTTAGATATTAAAAAAAATTTTTTTTTTAATTCATGCCTCCACACTTCTAGTTCCTTGGGAAGCAAATAATCATCCAGTAGAGGGAGCAAAAGCTACCCTGAAAATGACTAAAGAGCAGTTAAATTTTGTTAGTTGAATAATTTACTGTACAACTCTCGTATCTTTTGAATAAATTATTCAGAAAATATATATTTCCATTACTCACCAATGTCTAGTGCTCCTGGAATAATTCACAACTATATTAACCACAAATTTTACCCAGTGAATTCAATTATTCTGTAAAATAAAACATCCATGCTCCAAACTGTGCAAAAACTACAGAAAGTGATGCCGAAAGCAAATAAAGACATAATCAGCTAACTATTCAGACAACTTATATGATAACAGAGCATATGAGCAACCACATATTGATTTTAGTGGTAAGACAGTGGATCAAAACAAGCACAAAAGAAAAATAATTATTTGAAATGCCAAAAAAAAAAAAAACCAACCACAAAACATTGTAATAGCTGCTTCTAACAGCCATCCTTATGCAACAGAAGAGATACTCTACATATTAAGATGAAGAGCGTGACACAAAATGGTAATTTAAAAGTTTTACTATTAAATGATATTAGTATTAAGAAGGAAAAATATTTCATAGGATTATAGAATCATTTGAGTTGGAAAGGACCCTTAAAGGTCATCTAGTTCAACTCCCCTGCAAGGAACAGGGACATGTACTGGGGCCCATCTTGTTTAGTATCTTTATTGACCTAGATGAGGGGATTGAATGTACAGTTGTACAGAAAGTCGTGCCAGAGGAGGTTTAGGTTAGACACAAGGAAAAGCTTTTTCTCTCAGAGAGTGGTCAGGCACTGGAATGGCCTGCCCAGGGTGGTGGTGGACTTGCCATCCCTGGCAGTGTTTAAGAAGTGTCTGGATGAGAAGCTATGAGATATGGATTAGTGCTTGTGGTAGCAACAGTAATGGGAGGACAGTTAGACTAGATGATCTTGCAGGTCCTTTCCAACCTTGTGATTCTACAGCGTATAGCTACATCAGGTACTCAGAGTCCCATCCAACCTGATCTTGAACATCTCCAGGGATGGAGAGCTACCATCTCTCTGGTATGTCTGTTCCAGTGTCTCACCACCCTTACTGTAAAAACTTTTTCCTTATATCCCACTGTTGACCTTTGAAAACAAGGAAAAAGCATCTGATAAATTCTTGGTGATAGTGGGCAAAGTTTCACTAGAAGTATCAATAACCATACATAAGAAACAGTTGACTCACCCAGCTAGTGATAGGACTTCCAGCTATAGAACACTCCTTATCAGTAAGCAGCCTTCATATAGGAGATGTTCTCCTTTCAGAAGCTAGCCTTAAATGAGCCCAGGAAGATCATGTGGGAAGCACAGCTGAATTGCTTGCACCTCCTTCACCAGGTGCTCAGTCATCAGATCAGGCTATGACATAACAGTTCTGTTACACCAACATAAATCTTCTCTTTTTTAGTTTGAAAGCATTTCCCCTTGTCCTACTGCAACAGGATCTGCTATGGAGTCTGCCCCCTTCTTTCTTACAGCTCCCCTTCAGATACTAAAAGGCTGCCCTCATGTCTCCCTGGAGCCTTCTCTTTTCCAGGCTGAACAGCCCCAGCTCTCTCAGCCTGTCCTCATAGGAGAGGTGTTCCAGCCCTGAGAGCATTTTTGTGGCCTTCCTCTGGACATGTTCCAAAAGATCTATGTCTCTCTTACACTGAGGATCCCACATCTGCATGCAGTACTCTAGGTGATGTCTCACCAGCGCAGAGTAGAGAGGCAGGATTACTTCCCTTGACCTGCTGGTCTTGCTTCTTCTGTTGTGGTCTGGGATATATTTCTCTTTCTGGGCTGCAAGTGCAGACTGCTGGCTCATGTCCAGCTAGCCGTTCACTAGTATCCCCAAGTCCCTTTCAGCAGGGATCTGCTCTATCCTCACATCCCCCAGCTTGTACTGTTATTGGGGTTGCCACTACCCAGGTGAAAGACCTTATTCTTGGCTTTGTTGAACCTCATGAGGTTCCCTCTGGACCCGCAGAGGCACTCTATCCTACTGTTGCTGTTATTGATGAAGATATCAAAGAGTATTGGTCTCTGTACGAACCCCGTGGTTCACTACTTGTCACTGACCTCCACATGAACATTGAGCCATTGACCACCACTCTCTAGATATAAACTTGTAACTAGTTCCTTGTTCACTGAACAGGGGTTTCAGGGCCCCCACTAGCACTCTTTAACCTAGCTATGCTGTCCCACACCTTATCATGGACGGATTTGCTATTACCTCCTCCCCCTTCAAACCTAGTTCAAAGCCCTACCAATGAGCCATGCTTGCTTTTCCCCAAAGACCTGCTTTTCCCTTTCAGAGAGGTTCGTTCTATGTTGCTGTGAATTGCTAGAAATAACAATTATGTCTTAAATCTTCACTGATGCTTGAGCTTAAACAGCTTATGTAATGAAAGCTGGATATTAATCTCATTAAATGAGGGAAGGAGAACTGCAAATAAAGAAAAAACAAGCCCCTTTCTAGCTTCTTCCTCAGACTGAATGTGGCTGAAAGAGGTGTTATTTTGCAATTAATGAGGCATAGGACAAAGTGACCGAGATGTAGAGCCATGGAAAACTCGAAACCCTCAGCCACACCAAAGTCCTAAAATTCCTGGAAGCAAACCTGCTTTGAGTGTATTTCATTTCCAGTATGAGTGTTGTCAGTAATGGTAGGATATTAATCCCAGGGATCAAAATAACTACTTGCATAGCAGATATGTATTATCAGCTTACAGTAGACCAACAGAACTTCTCTACATGTATTTAAACTCTGTTGTACATTGTGGCAAAGCTAATTAAAGCTATAGCTGATCAGCTTGCTTTAGTATTTTGCATGTGTACTTATTCAACCACTAAGATCTGTGTCATGGCTGGTACTTTTTTTTTTTTTCCTGGGAAAACAATGTCAGCAGGCAGTTGCTATTGAAGCAGAAGGCTCAGAAGAGACCATGCAGGCAGGAAAAATAAAGACGGATGGTTTGTTTTCTTTTCTGATTTTGTATATACTAAATTTGTGTGTTTGTGGCATATTGTAGTTTGGCTGAGGTAAATGAGAGTATTAACTCATGCCGAATTCAAGATAACAAGCATGTTTGCAGTATTCTCACTGAAATCACTAAGTTGTATGACAAACAGATTTGGGCAGCACTGAGACTTTTTTCAGTATCATGACAAATATGGTCTTGTCTTTCACCTGTGACAGATAAAATCTGTCCCAGAGTTGTACTTAACATGCTATCTGTGCTAGATCTGACCCTTAACAGTGTCATAGACTGCTTTCCCTTTCGTGCTGAATTTGGAGTAGGATAAGAAGCAGTATGTCAGAGTTATTTACAATTGTAATCTATGCAGGTAAGTGTTGTTTATAAAACACCCTTTCCTACCCTGTGCTGCTGGTGCTGAAGTTTAATTTTCTCCTGGTTAAAACCAATGCTGATCATACTTGCCTTAATCTTGCAGCCCTCTCTCCAGCTGGTTTCTGTATGCATACTGTGAGAGCAGGCTCAGAAAGCACAGATGCAAGATGCGTCCTTAAAAAGGCATTGGAGAGGGGGCTGATATGCCTGGTGCATTCCAGCTATGATGACCTTGCAGTAGGGTTAGCATGGGACTAGTGAACCAAGGCATTGTATTTCAGGCTATTGAACACTGCCCTCTCCCTTACAGTTTCAAAGGGGGAGATTTGTATTTTAAATTGAAGGTATGACCTTTGACCTTGCTTTTTAATTAAGCACCTAGCTAGCAGGTTTCACAAGCCATGTTATTACCTGTGGGTTTACTATTAGATATTAAGATAAAGGATTCAGAGAGTATGTGGTCTTGGGTCTTTCTCTTTTCTTACAATGCCTTAAAGCCCTCTTTCTTTCTTCAGGTTTAAAGATTTTATACCAGCAATAAAATCCAAATTAGAAAAATAATGGCTCATCCTTCTGGAGAGGTTTGATCAAATCGTACCACTGGGACTTCTTTGAAGTCAGTAAGCAGAATTTGTCCTGTGGTATCTCAAGGAAATAGGCAAATTAGAAAAGGCTTGGTCATTGAAAAAAGACAAACTAAATGAGACACCAAAGCTAACTTCCACCTGCCAAAGCCCTTCCCACACATGGAAGCTTTGAAGTAGAATGAAAAGACTAAGCGAAGCCATAATTACATCTTGTTTAATTTGGCCCTTTAAACAGCAAACCTTTTAACAGACTTTTCTACACATCTGTATACTGCTCTTCCAATCAGCATAGAGCTTAATAACAGATGATTAAAAATTAAATCTACACTTTATGTTTCTGCTTTGCTCAATATTGCACATGTACTTAGAGTTAAGCATATGTTTAACGGCTTTGAGGAATCAGGACTTTTCTCTTTTTCTTCAGGATGTCTTTCTTCTGTCTTTGGAAAATGTGGTTAACATCATGTACATTATGCCCTTGTGGGAAAGAATTAATCTTGGGCTGGAATGTATAGGGATCATCCTAATAGGATTTAAGTTGCTTTTTTCCCCTTTCCTTTCAGTATTCATAGTGTCTGGGAAGAAATGGGTTTGTGTGGCTATTTCCTATATTAGCATCTGTTAGAAAGGTGTTCTAATGGCCATTTAGTTCGTGGTGATTACTCAAAGTGCAGAAAATAGGATTAGTACTTTTGACTATATTTTACAAGATAACTGAAATTCTTCATATTTGGGTGCTGAGTGAATTTTTAAAAAAACATTACAATAAAACTATTCTGTGCAAAACTTCTTTAAATCTCAAAAAGAATAAGACTGGTTACTGGAAGTTCCTGACTTTGTTGGTTCCTCCAACTCCCAAGGGATCAATTTTCACAGTAACTGTAACTATCTGAACTTTGAGGTATTGAAATAGCGTTAGTAAGGTGTTGGGAGAGCAGAAGAAGATGAGAAATTAGCTTCCAAGAAAAACAGCTTGCTATTTTGCTCAAAGCTGTACAGAAATTTCATTAGGAGAGAGTGGGGTGATGGTTGTGTACTCAGGTTAATAAGCCTTGTCCCATGGTGGTGGCTCTCCATGCTGTACTCCTGGCTGCTGTATTACTTACTTCTCTCCAAGAGCCGTAAGAGCCATTTGCTTCTCTCAAATGAAGCCTCTGCAGCTTCAACTCTGCCTGTAGCCTGAACATCAAAGATAGCAGTATGCAGTTTCTTCACAGCATTCTTATTCTAAAGTTTCTTCTCACTGAAACCAAATCTAAAGAACCCTTCTCATCATTCAGCACTCTAGTCTTGCTTCTTTTGAAATCAGATAGATTTTTTTTCTTTCCAAGAAAAATTCAGAGTTCCAGAGTATCAAGGGAGCCTCTGGCACAGATTTCCTGAGGTTCTGTGTTAGACACACCAGAATATGATGCTTGCAGTCTGCTCTGCTTATACAAAATTGCATAAACATGCATGACCTGTATACAAAATAATTCAGAGCCTTAGGAATGAATTCCTTTTCTCACCCACCAACTCTTTGTCATCAGTGTAGCTTGCAAAGGTGAAAGGAGTCAGTGAATTAATTTTACTTGGAGAGAATTTTAAAAGCAGGAGAGTTTAAAAGCACCCTCTCATTTTGGTTACTCTTGCCGACTTCATTAGCTTTTCACCCTGGCAAGTCACAGGTCAATCTCATATTGAAAACTTGCTCCCACACAGTTAGGTAATGCCCTTGGTGAGAAAATGCAATTAATAAATAACAAACAGTAATATGTGTGAGACAATGCATGTCTTGAGAGAAAAGAGTCTGAGATTCTATAAACAGCTGAACAATGTATTTTCAGTTTCTGGAGTGGGAACTAAGACAGATCCCCTCTGTCCTATGTAGCCATATATTGCTTTACAAATTTATTGCAAGAAGTTGTTTTTTCCCCTCTGTAAACAATTGGGATAGATGTGAACAACTTCCAAATAGCAACATAAGTTTAATTCATCTGTCTCAAGTGACATAACATATGTCACTGGGGCCTGTTGCAGAAGCATGGAAGTCTGCTACATCGTGTAGCATTATGCTTTATAGCCATACCAGCATTGTCATTAATACCAGTGCATTTTGAAAAAGGAAATGTATGTGGCAACTATGGCAGTCCTTTCTCCATGTATCTCCCTCCAGCAGGGTGCTAAATTTCGCTTTTTTGGGGAGAAGGTGTTGGGAAAATTCAAACTCTCTTGAAAAGATTTTTTTTTCCTGCACCTTTTCTAGAATAAAAGCCCTTTTATCAGCAAAAGTACAATGTTTTCTTTCTCTTTCCTTCCATTTTCTATCTGCTGTGAATATAAAATGAGATCTGAGTGAGAAAAGTAAAGTAAATCTGCTGTTGATTCACTAAAATGTCTAGCCTCAGCTCTGGAAATTCAAGAAATTTTCAGTACAATCTTGACTATTCTGCGTACTATAGTTTGGTATTTGATGATGTAATCATTTCAACCATAGAACATAAAATCTGGATTAGAGGGAGATTATATTGATCTAGTGGAGACATTTTTCAGTGGTGTCAATTGATGACCTAACCATTTGTGTTTCTACTTTAAATAGACGTAAACTCTGTTTCTGTAGTCATGATAGAATAAACAATTGACTTCTATGAAATCAATGGCTTACCTAAAACACCTCTTTTCAGGGAAACCAAACAGGTGGAAAAACCTTGGTCAGTCCTGATTGCATTCATTGTTTA